CATAGAAAGGTATTAGCATATGCCTAATAAATAATAGGTATTAAATAAATGTTAACTACTATAAAAACTTAGTGATAGTTTCCATGATTATGTATTTTTTCTACTGTCAATCTCACCAAGGAGCTATTTTACTTACTCTTTATGAAGTTGTTTTAACAGTGTTCCTGTGGATTGCCCCTGTTCTTAAGCCAAAACCCATCTTGACTCAAGACTTGGTACTTGGATACAGCTTCTAAAGTAATTTCAGTTTTCAAAAATGTATTAATAAAAATTAGATATTTTACTGAGGATTCCTTAGGGTAATAGACAAGAATATTTACACTATACACCACATCAAAGAAACTTAAATTTCCCTTAGAATTTCCTATTCTCCCCAAATTCTTCTCTCTTATCATCTGCTTTATCTCCTCTCTAATAAGCCCCCAAATCCCTTCCCTTTGCCTAAACAATTCAGCTCCCATCCTTACCATTTATCCATTACTCAGGTAGACAAAAGTCAGATTGGTAACCTTAATTACAATCATATCTTTCTCTTTTCCAATATGCCTCCAGTCATATCTCTCTAATCTTTCACGGAGAATAGGAAAAAATCTCAGAGTTTCAAGTCAAATATTATTTAAAATAAAGAAAAACCAATTTAAACAAAAAAATGTTAAGAATTAGACTAACACAATGCATCGCTGGTGCTAAGGATACAGAGACAAAAAAGATAGTTCCACCAAAATTATTAGTTTTCATGTCTGTCTTTTCAGCTGACCATAAACAAAAACACTAAGATAAATGAACCAACACTTACACATTCAAAGTGCTTCAGGAGCACAGAGTAAGAAGGAAGCATCTGGAAATGTCAGCAATATGAGTTCTTACTCCAAGTAGATCCAGCATCATTGTGTTGATAGTGTCACACATAGTGCTTTCCTGAAACTCTCTACTTATTATAAGTGTTTTCTTCTGTGCTTCTCTTTTTCACTGTCTCTCTGAACTTGAACTAATTGCCCCTGCTGTATACCAACTGTAGACCCTCTTTTGATCCCTGACACAGTATCAAGCTCACAGTTTCCACGCTCACACCTGCTATCCCCCTTTCCTTCAAATACACCATTTATCCTGACAGTAAGTAAACTTACCTGGGGAAATATTCCTTGTGGAACTGTAGTTTGTCTTTCAGATTACCTGAAAGATGAAATTTTAAGTTCTCCTTTGATACTAAACATAGGTTTTCCTTCCATGAAAAAGCTTAGAATGTACCTTTTTTATTTCAGGTGGAAAACACATTGGGGTGATGACAGTAAGCAGCGTTTAAGTTTATATACAGAAAACGCTTTGAAAATGCCTATCTTTTTATAGCAAGTCTGATATAAAGGATAATATTGCTCAAGAAATGTTACAAAAATGGCCTCTATGTGCTTCGAAGTGAGAAAGACACTGACTGTTGGAATAAATCCTAGGTCAATCAAATCCTTGTTTTATTTATTTATTTTTCTTTTTAAGGAAAAATAAAAGAATAGAATTGAGAAACTCTACCAGCTAAGCAAGTTTGTTTGGTTTTTGGTTTGGGGTGGGTTTTTTTGTTTTTTGTTTTGTTTTGTAAAACACTATGACTTCTAGACAAAGTAATCAGCATCAGTTTGAGGAAGGAGAGATTTTTGTAAGATATATCTAATGAAGTTCCAGGTATTAGATGGATTTAAAGTGACACAAAAAGCTATTAACAAAGCTGTTCTTTGTTGAAGACATTCAATAACTAGATTGTCTATAACAAGATTATCTTGTGAGATAAACCCCACATTTGGACTATGATAAAATAGCATGGTGATAAACTATAGAGGCAAGAGTGTGAACAAATTGATATGGAAGGTCAAAATAGTATGTTCCTCTATATTCATAAATTTCCATTTCTGTGTGCTTTCTATGCTACTTAGAATCACTCAACTTATTTGTATACTCACTCTTATTAAGCCATTTACTTCAGACTTTACAGGACTTAAGACTATAAACTGAAAGCAATTCTTCCCTCCTCTCTCAGTTTCTCACTAAAAGTTAAATGACATATACTTCTTATCATACGTTATGAAGTTGGGGAGCTCGACTCAATTTTTCACATATTTTAACTGCAATTTCATATAAGAATCAGCCATCAGTAAAGGGGAAACATAGACAAATATTCCAATGTCTATGAAAATTTTAATATAAAGTTGAGGGACTGATCCATTAACTGTCAGAATGCTTGTAACTTTACACCATACATACACAAAAATAAACTAAAAGTGGATTAAAGACTTGAACATAAGACCTGAAACCATACAACTCCTAAAATCAAACATAGGTGGTAAGCTCCTTGACATTGGTCTTGATGATAATATTTTGGACTTGACACTGAAAGCAAAGGCAATGAGAGCAAAAATTAAAAAGTGGGACTTCCTCAAACTCAAAAGCTTCTTCTGTACAGTAAAGTAAACCATCAAGAAAATGAAAAAGAAACCTATCAAATGGAAGAAAATATTTACAAATTCTATATCTAATAAGGGGTTAACACCCAAAATATATGAAAGCACTAATACAACTCAACAGCAAAAACTAATAATCTGATTAAAAGATGAGCAGATGATCTGAGTAGATACTTTTTCAAAGAAGACATACAGATGGCCAACAGGTACATGAAAAAGTGCTTAACATCGCTAATCATCAAGGAAATGCAAATCAGACACACTATGAGACATCACTTCATACTTGTTAGAATTCTATCATCAAAAAGATAAGAAAAAATAGGTATTAGAGAGGATGTGGACAAAAGTAAACACTTGCAGTGTTGATGGGAAATTGGTACAGCCACTGTGGCAACCAGTACAGAGGATCCTCAGAAAATTTAAAAATGGAATTACTGTATAATCCAGCAGTTTCATTTTTGGGTACTTATCCAAATGGAACAAAAAGATAAGTCAAAAAGATATATGCACTCCCATGCTCATTGTAGCATTATTTGCAAGAGCCAAGACATGAAAAGAACCTAAGTGTCCAATGATAGATGGATGAATAAAAAAAAGTTGGCACTATACACATGCATGCATCCATGCACACGCACACACACACACACACACAGAAGAATATTATTCAGACATTAAAAAAACAAGGCAATTAAGCCATTTGTGGCACCAGGGATAGACCTTGAGGGCACTATGCTAAGTGAAAGAAGTCAGAAAGAGATAAATAAAACTGTACATGTGGAATGTAAAGAACAATAACAACAACACAACAACTTATAGACGCGAAGAACAGTTCAGTGGTTGCCAGGGGCAGGTGGTGGGGATGGAGGATGGGCAAAATGGGTGAAGCTGTTCAACAGGTACAAATGTCAGGTTATAAGTTCGAGGGAAATAATGTACAGCAGTGTAACTATAGTTAATAATAATGTATTATATACAGTGCCCCTGGTTGGCTCAGATGTTTAGGCATCTGCCTTAGGCTCAGGTCATGCTCTCCAGGGCCTGGGATCAAGCCACACATTAGGCTCCTGGCTGGCTCAGTGGGGAGCTTGCTTCTCCCACTCCCCCTGCTTGTATGCTCTCTCTGCCTCTCTCCCCCAAATGAATAAATAAAAGCTTAAAAAAGTAATTATATATTTGAAAATTGCTAACAGAGATCTTAAAAGTTCTCTTCACAAGAAAGAAAAAATTCCAACCCTATGGTAGTGGATATTAATTAGATTTATTGTAGTGATCCTTTTGTAATATGTACATGCATCCTATCACTATGTTGTACACCTGAAACTCATATATGTCAATTACATATCGACTGAAAAAAAAAAAAAGAATTGAAGAACTCAGTTAAAAGATGGACACTACTAGATGTAAAGGCTCTTTATGAAGCTACAGTATTCAAAACAATGTGATATAGACGCGCAATAGGCAAAGCCAGCAGTGCAGTAGAACTAAGTGTCTAGATTTAGATCCACACGCATATAATCATCCAAGTCAAAGCAAAATCACTAACACCATAAACAGTCTGCAAGATAAATGATGCTTAATCAAAATTTCTGTTTAGGAAAAAAAGAAGTATATTTTAAATTCTACCTCACAGAATACACAACAATCAAGAAGACGGACCACAGATTTAAATGTGAAAGGTCCAACAATAAAACTTCTAAAAGATAACATACAAAAATATGTTCATGACCTCGGAGTAGGCAGAGACTTCTTAAAAAGACCCTTAGCCATGAAGAGCACTAACCCTAAAGGAGATGCTTAGTAAGTTGAACCACATTAAAATTAAGGTGTCATTTTCATTAAAAAAAAAAAAAAAACAGCAAATGCAAATGCCAGGTATAGAGTGGAGAAAGTATTCTGCACTACATAAACATGAGCTAGGACTTGTATCCCACACGTAAAGAACACATCCAGTAAGAAAGGACATTTTAAAGCTATGATCGATGTTCAATTTACTCACTGGTGGTTACTATTATTATGTAAATAACTAGTGTGAGTCCTTTACAAATTATGGATATTCATCTGTCCTGTGATATTTCACGTAGGTTTTATTTCTCAATTTGTGGTTCTTTTTACATTTTTTATTTTTTATTATTTTTTTAAATTTATTTATTAGAGAGAGAGAGAGTGAGAGAGAGCGCGCAAGAGGGGGAAGGGTTAGAGGGAGAAGCAGACTCCCCGCCGAGCAGGGAGCCCGATGTGGGACTCGATCCCGGGACTCCGGGATCACGACCTGAGCCGAAGGCAGTCGCTTAACCAACTGAGCCACCCAGGCGCCCATCTTTTTACATTTTTTAAATGTAACATAGTTGTAGTGGCTTATTACTGTCTCACCTTAGTTAGGCTGGAAATGTTTCCTTAAAATTCCCTGTCCTGTATGGCTCTAGATTCATAGTGGCTGCAAAAGAAATTTGTCTGAATTTGGAAGGGCGAAGTGAAGCAGTGGTCACATTTTTTTTTTTTTAATCCTCCCAAGATTAGTGTAGAATACCATGCCTTGTGGCATGTCACACTCACCAATCTGAGGTCTCACTTTGGTGTCATAGGAGCCTCCTTCCAGCTTCTTACATCCCTGGGCCAGGTGAGGATGCAGGTCTGTGGTAAAGGGCAGTAGCTGCGCCCACATGGTTCCCCCGCACTAGCTGGAGACACAGAGACAATGACGCTGCTGGTCTGACTGATACCTAATGGCTAATAGCAAATGACTTCACTCTCAATATCAGATGCAGAAACAACAGCATCACAAGGATGCCTCTTCCAATTTCCATAATTGTGTAACTTCTAGTCCTTATACGAAACCCCTTACTCTGTATCACTAATGTTGTTTTGCTTCTTTAATAAAACCCCGACTGATAATGAAAACTTCTAGGTATGTGCTATCCAAAAGAGTAACTACTAGCCGCATGTGGCTATTGAGCAACCTGAAATATGGTTAGTCAAAAATGTTCTTTATCTGTAAAATACACACAAAATTTCAAAGGTAAGTAAGAAAAAAATAAGGAAAATATCTTCTTAATAATTTTTATACTGACTACATGTTGAAATAATAGTATTTTGGATATACTGATTTAAATAAAATAAATTATTAAAATTAAAAATTTTGCTTTTTTAAACATTTTTAAAGTGGCTACTAAATATTTTATCAGTACAGAAGTAGCTTGCATTTGTGGTTTTCATTCTACTTCTATTGGACAGTAATATTCCAGAGGAGCAGAACCTTAGGAGTAAGTTTTCAGAATTGACTCTAAGATATCTGGAATTGGCCTCATATCTGGTAAGACTAAAGGTATGGATGTTTCTATTTTTATTGGTGAAGGGAATACACATAGTCTAGGGAAAACATTGGTAAATCAGATATTTAATGATCACCTGTAAATATCTGTAGTAAAGTATCTACAGAAGACAACGCTTTGGGAAACCAAGTTGTTAATGATATAGAACATTATAGTGAAAACAGGGAATATGGTTATTGAGATGGATGGTTTCTTCTAAGTGTACTGAAGAATTTAGGGAAAGAAATGTTAATGCAGAGCTTGAAATTATCAGCCCAAAATCTGGATAAAGGACCAAAAGTTTCCATGGCTGCCCCCAAAGAAACAGTGTCCTCTGTAGTGAGAGGTCCAAAGCTTCTATGAAACAAACCAAACCAAAGTCTATTTCTCAAGATGGTTGAGTTACAATGGAAATTAAATTACCACAAGTATGGGTTTGGTAATATTAAAGTTAGAACAGTTATTGGGAAAGAGTAAAACCCTGAAAATGGAATTGGAGCAAGTGGGCTTACTTCAAAGAAACTGGAGAGAGTAAACCCCTAAATTCTGCTGAGCCTCATTTGCCACTAGAAGAAACCTTTCTTCCCCTAATGTTAGTCCCTCCTTGGAAGAAGACTCTTACAAAGATTTGGATTAAGTGTATCAATTTAGGTAGTTGAGAGTGACTAGAGAAATCTGGTTTATTGACTGAAACCTAGGACCAAATATGGCCTCTACTAAACTAAATGGACTTGAAATATCAGGGTATCTTTGGTACAATATAAGGGAAGATAGAGGGATATTGGGATACTACATTAGGAACACCTCATCACCAGTCACCCTCACACATCACAGTAAGTCCACATGGAGGGTTCAGGAAACACTCTTTTCACCAACATGATGAGAAAAGCATTGTGGGGGAGCAACCACATCCTGAAGAGCTCAGTACTGGTTGCACACTATAGACCTGGACTTACAGCAGGACTGCTGTCATCAAAGTGAGCTCCCCCAATACAATGGAGATGATTAGATTGTAGATGTCAGGGGTGAAGGGCAGTATTTAGTCACCAAAGACAAGGCGAGTAGAGTCACTATAATAAAAAGCAAAGCCAAGGCATAATCAGAGGAGAATTTTGGTGTTGTCTAGTTGATCATAGCATCCCTAAAACTAAAATAGATCGGCAGCTTACTAAAATCTTTCTTCTTTTCTCCAAAAGGAAAAACTCTTGGTTTGGTGAAAAGAAATCTAACTTGAATCACAACATGAGCAAGTCATAGCCCCTTTACCAATTCCAAAATTTTTCAGTTCATAGACCCAAAGACCCTTGAATAAAGGAAGCCAAGTATTCTTGAGGAAGACATTACTGCAGCCGAATTTTTATATTTAAATTTCTTCTAGCTTTCCCAAAAGTATCTGAAGCCATTTACCAGCATGGTAAAAGGAATAGAGGATAGAGGAAGTAAGAAGACTTTTCAGGGGTTACTGGACACTGACTCTGATTGACACTAATTCCTATCAACTCAAGATGTTTAAGTCCACCTTGTAGGAGGCCCAGTAGCTCTCCAATCCAACTTTGGCTATTTCCTCACTTCCAGAATGTACAATTGCAATAAAGATACTCACCAAATGACCTATTCCCTGCATAAGTTCCCGGACTGGTGGAGATGGTGCTATTATAACAGTAAAGGCTAAGTGAAAGTCACTAGAATTTTTCTACTACCAAAATAGTAAACCAAAACCAATAGTACTTTTCTGGAAGGATTAGAGGTCAGTGCCATCACCAAGGAATTGCAGGTGCAAGGATGGTGATTTCTACCATATATCCTATATAACTCACCTATTTGGATATAAAATGGAATGTGTGTAAAATGGTATTTAGGGAATTACAGTGGACTATTGTAAACCTAATTGGATGTTGACTCCAATTACAACTGCTATTCAAGCATGATTTCACTGCTGGAGCAAATCAACATATCTTCTGACAGCTGGTATGCAACTATTGATTTAGTGAATGCTTTTTTATCCATACCTTCTAGTAAAGACTATCAGAAGTAGTTTGCTTTCAGGTGGTAGGACCATCAATACACACTCTTTTTACCTGAGGGATGTATCATCTCTTTAGCTTGTTACCACAATCTAGCCTGCAAGGACATTAATTGCTTTCCCAATCCACAGGACATAACATTTGTGTACTGCACTACATGACACTGTGCTGACTGCACTTGGTGAAAAGGAGGTGGCAACTTGGTAAGATGCGTGCATAAGAGAGGGTCTGACATAAATCCCACAAATATTTGGTACCACACAATGCCAGAGTCTCAGTGCTTTGGTGATTACCTGGTATAATCCTTCCATAGTGAAGAGCAGGTTACTGTCTTTGTCTCTTCCATTAAGGAAGAGGCATATCACCTAGTGGACCTTTTTGAATTTTTAGGGAAATATATACTTCATCTGGGGTAGTAATTATCCTCAAATTTCAAAGTAATCTGAAAGGCTACCAGTTTTGAGTGGGCCCAGAACAAAAGAAGGCTCTTCTACAGTTCCAGGCTACTGTGTAAACTACTCTGCTTCTTGGGCTGGATGACCCAAAAGATCAAATGGTACTTAAAATATCTGTGACAGGTAGGGCAGTTGTAAGGAGTCTTTGGTGGGCCTGCTAGGTTTTTGGAGCAATGCTATGCCATCCTCTGCAAAGCCTGTTCATTTTTTTAGAACCAGGTTTTGTTTTGAGACTGGTTCATAGCAGAAACTCAGTGTACTTCCATTGCTAATCCCAAGTCACTGACTGTTTTATGCTTCATAGACAACAGCTAAACATTGTGAGTCAGATACCGGTCTAATGTATCCTCCCAATTCCAGGAGATACACATCAAGTTCTCTAAGTGGACCAATTAAAGCCCCCTTTCCTACATTTTAAGTAAAAGAAAATTACCCTGTAGAAAGGAAGTAGGAGAATGAACATGTGAATAGAGGGGAATAAGGGAGAAATAGGTAGAAATAAAAATACCCACAGCTTTCTAAACAATCTTCTTCAGATATTCCCCTCCCCAACCATGTTATAGGCTCAATTGGGATGACTAAGAGGTACCTAGTAAATATTAATTAAGATCCTTCTTCAGGAATGAAGGACTTATTTCCCAATATTCTGGATTGTAGCCAGCTCATAGCCCTCTCTTTATTACCCTTCTTTGTGAATTGCCCTCATCTGAACAGAGGTGATTTGCCCAAGCTCATGCCTCCTATCCAGGGCAGCCTACATCCACTAACAGGTAAATGTAGGAATATCAATGTCTCGACTTGTCCCAACTCTGAACAACTCTGAAGCCCTATCTCACATTCAGAATTCCCTCATGTGTTTGGTTACCGCTCAACTTCATCTCTGCCCAGTTCTTCTTCTTTCTTTCCCCTATAGAGGCTGATCCTGAGAATATTCACAAATTCATTTCCTCTCTACGAATCCCCATTTTCCCCACAGTCACTGATTTTTAAGAATTGGTATCAGGAAGGTTCCAGTGGAGCAGATGACAAGATGGGGTTTTGGATTAAAAACCACTGATGATAGGTAGAGCACAGATAGCCCCTGGCACAAGGTAGCAGTATCACTGTTATAATTTCATCCAGGAAAGAGTAGGGATAGCATACCAACAGAGATGATTGCACTAGTGGGTATAATAGAAAGTATTTCAGAAATACAGCAGGAATGGTATAAGGAAAATGGATTAATTTGCTTATCTGGGGGCAACTGATGTTCACAGAAAAAGTGTAATAAAATATTAAAGTGTATCAATTGTTGATTTAAAGCTAATTCTGCAAGTAGGGGAGCTTTTTGGTAGCATGTAAAGAGATTCACATCCTGCAGCTGCAGGGCAGAAAAAGCTAGTGGGTTGGCCCAGGGCTTAGTGATAAGAGTAATAGATTTCTGGAGAAAGTTCTCTAGCCAGATAGATCTGCTATGCCAAAGACAGTGTCCTGATTGGGACCCTGAGGTACTAGAGGAGGACATCGAGATGGATAGAATGTCAAGTCTTGAATCCCCAGATTTCCCTAAACCTTTCTGAGAAGTGGCCCACTACTCTCTTTTAAGGTACTTCCTCTCCTTAGAGACCTCTCTTCAGCAAAGTACCATGTGCCCTGCTCAGGATCTACCCCTACACTTCCATCCCTGGCCTCTAAGCGAATAACTAGATTAAGTTACTACATATCCTGGCAAGGATTGCTGAGACATAAAGAAGGAAAAGAACTATAGCTTGAAGAAACTGCAGAATCTAGCTAATGTATACTAGCCATACTTGAGAGGCTGCATCAAGAACTCACGATCCTGAGGGGGCCGGATGAAAGGAGGGTTTACTGAAATGGCATGCTCTTCCAGAATAAAAATGTAGTATCTTCT